CATTTCTTCTCAGGAAGGGAATAGAAATGTTCACCAAAAGCTAATTGAGCTGTACTTGTATTAAAGTTGACATTTTTGGGTTTTTTTTTTTTTTTAAACCTCTGCCTATGAGTCTGATTTTGTTTTAAATCCCAATCTCCATTTTACCATTTACCTGAATTATAGTAGTTTCTTATCTGTCTAGTTTCTCTGTTTTTTTCTCTCTCATTCCTTTTAGTATTTCCAGGTCAAACACCAATTTTAGGTAAAGCCCCTTGCCTTTGATTCTGAGCTCTTTTGGTATGGCTACCCATCTCTTTCATCTCAGTACTCCCCCATGTCTAACACATTGGTACCTAGTAAGCACTCAGTTAATGTTTTAAGAAAGTTAATGAGTGAATAGTGGCAATTTTGTTGGCTCCTTTGGTGGAGTGAGCCCATAGTGATCAATACTCTAGGAAATTCAGTGGTTACATAGCATTGTGGTTTAGAGCATGGGCTTTGGAATCATACAGCACTGGGTTTGAGTCCCTGTTCTAGCTCCAGTTTATTAGCTGTATGACATTGGGAACATTGTTTCATGTTCTTGAACCTGTTTCCTCATCTGTAAAATGGTGATAATAATAGCATCTACTATACAGACTTTTTGAACCACTTTTCTTCTAGGGCCTTGGTAGTAGTTGTTCTATATCTACCAAATGGTCCTCTTCCAGGTCTTTGCTGCTTCTTGTCATTCATGTTTCAGCTTAAATGTCATCTTCTTAGATAGTTCTTCTCTATCAGACAGGATTCATAGTTGTAAGCAACAGAAACAAATTCTGACTGATTATTGAAAGGATAGTTAGGAAAACTCACAAAACATCTGGGAAGGCAACAGAGCCAAGCTTGAAGAATGGGCTGGAACAAGGGAAACTGGGCAGCCACCAGGACCGTAGACAAGATCAGTCACAGAGGCACTGCTACCACTACTGTTTACACAGCTTATACCACTACTGCCAGCTGTGCTGGGCGTTAATGGCCACTATAGCCACGACTTGCTGCTAGCAGGACTCTCCGTAATCCTCTGACTCTGTGACACAAGGTCCAAGTTCAAGGTCTGAGGCTATGTATCTGATTGGCATGGTCTGGGCCATATGTGCGTACCATAGATGCAAGGGAGCCTTAGAAAAATAATCTTAATATTCAACATTTTCACTTCATAGTGGGAGGGGGCTCTGCCTCCCAGCAGACTCATAAGATGGGGGAATTCCCAAAATATAGGCAGGATTTCAAATGCTGAGCAGCCAGAAAACTCCACAAATGTTCACTACATCTTCTTTGACCTCAAGTCTACAAGTAGACCCCCAGTCACTCTCAAATCAGCTTGTTATATTTTCATCATAGTGCCTTTTACTACCAGATATTTTCTTATTAGTATTTGTTCATTATACCACAAAGATGTTTACCTGTGTCTTATTTACTATGTAAAGGCATTCGACTGTGTGGATCGTAACAAATTATGGATAACATTACGAAGAATGGGAATTGTAGAACAGTTAATTGTGCCTATGAGGAACCTGTACATAGATCAAGAGGCAGTCATTTGAACAGAACAAGGGGATAGTGCGTGGTTTAAAGTCAGGAAAGGTGTGCGTCAGGGTCGTATCCTTTCACCATGCTTATTCAGTCTGTATGCTGAGCAAATAATCCGAGAAACTGGGCTATGTGAAGAAGAACAGGGCATCAGGATTGGAGGAAGACTCATTAACCTGCAATATGCAGATGACACAACCTTGTTTGCTGAAAGTGAAGAGGACTTGAAGCACTTACTGATGAAGATCAAAGACTACAGTCTTCAGTAAGGATTACACCTCAGTGTAAAGAAAACAAAAATCCTCACAACTGGACCAATAAGCAACATCATGATAAACAGAGAAAAGATTGAAGTTGTCAAGGATTTCATTTTACTTGGATCCGTAATCAACACCCATGGAAGCAGCACTCAGTAAATCAAATGACACATTACATTGGGCAAATCTGCTGCAAAAGACCTCTTTAAAGTGTTAAAAAGCAAAGATGTCTCCTTGAAGACTAAGATACGCCTGACCCAAGCCATGGTGTTTTCAGTAGTCTCATATGCATGTGAAAGCTGGACAATGAGTAAGGAAGACCAAAGAAGTATTGACGCCTTTGAGAGGAATGTGCTTTCACAGTATGGGGAGAGCAACTAGGGTCACATAACAATGTGTGTATAAATTTTTGTATGAGAAACTAGCTTGAATTTTAAACTTTCACTTAAAACACAATAAAAAAAAAAAGAATTGAAGCCTTTGAATTATGGTGTTGGCGAAGAATATTGAATATACCACGGACTGTCAAAAGAATGAACAAATCCCTCGTGGAAGAAGTACAGCCAGAATGCTCATTAGAAGCATGGATGGCGAGAAGAAGTCTCACATACTTTGGACATGTTATCAGGAGGGAACAGTCCCTGGAGAAGAACATCATACTTGGTAAAGAAGAGGGGTCAGAGAAAAAGAGGAAGGCCCTCAACTAGATGAATTGACACAGTGGCTGCAACAAAGGGCTCAAGCATAACAACATTTGTGGGCATGGCGCAGGACCGGGCAGTGTTTTGTTCTGTTGTACATAGGGTTGCTATGAGTTGGAACTGACTCAACAGCACCTAACAACAACAGCAACAGCAGTTCATTATATATATTCCCTCCTGCTAGAATGTAAGTACCATAAGAGCAAAGACTTTGCTGTTTTGCTCACTGCTATATCCCACAGGCCTGGAACAGTACGCAGCATATAGTAGGAGTATCTTTATACTCATTTGTTAAATGAGTGAATAAATGAATGACTATAAAGCACTTAGCACAATGCCTGACACATAGTAAGTGCATAATATTTGGCAACTTACTATATCTTAGCACATAATAACACATTTTTTAAAAAATAAAATTAAAAAACTTTCCAGTTACATTATTTCATTTGACCTTCACTGCAGTTCTCCGAAGACGACGGTGTTGAGGGTAAGGAATGAGCCTTTTCTGGTGAAGTATATATGGCCCCTTCAGTGTTTGCTCCCATGCTTCCTGTGGCTGTGAGAGGTTAATGAACAGAGAGATTAAGAGACTTGACCAAGATCACACAACTAATCTTACTTAATATCAGAGATCTCATTGGATTTGGTGTTCTCTCCATTATAATAAGCCCACCCAAATTCTTGGTGATTGTGAAGAAATTGTTGCTGTTGTTTTGGCTTTGACCTTTATATCACAAACCAGAGGACACACAGTCACAGGACAGCATTTAACTTACATTAATTTGTTCAAATTTGCATTTTTAATTTGGTGGCCAGAGGCCCCTGGAAAAACCATCATGAAATTGTAGCTGTTCTCAGCTGGCATCCCTGGATGTTCTTGGTGCTTGCAGGGTTTGTGGCCCTAAATAATGCCATGATAGATATGCCAGCAACTTCCGTATCTCGCTGGTAATGCTCGCTAAGATGCGATGCTGGATGGATGGCTTCCAAGTTTTAAGCGAAGAGTGTTGCCCTTTTAAGAGCTTGTGATCCCAAAATAGATCATGGAGATTTTGGCCCGAAAGAACCAAGGCTGAATGGGAAGGCTGGGAGGGTTAGCAGGGAGGCCTGGTGAGCCCTGAGAGCTGAAGGGCCACATGGGGAAGAAAGACTACATAGACTTCTGTGTGGCTCCTGGAGAACCAGGACCAAAAAGTGGCAATAACAGGAGGCAGAACTTTCTTAAAAAAGAAAAAAACATTTAGTGGGTTTTTCTCCCCCCAGACTGTAAAATTAATGTGCTTTTATGGAAAATTTTAAAAACATCAAAAAGTAGATGGAAAAATCAGTCATACTATTACCAAAAGAGAGCTATGATTAATGTTTTTTTATATTTCCCTTTTTTTAACATAGCTATGATAACACCCCATTGCTGTCAAGTTGATTCAGACTCATGGTGATCCTGTGGAACAGAGTAGAACTATCCCATAGGGTTTTCAAGGCTGTAAATCTTTACAGAATCAGACTGCCACATCTTTCTCCCACGGAATGGCTGGTGGCTTCAGACTGCCGACCTTTTGGTTAGCAGCCAACAAGGTGCTTAACCACTGTGCCACCAGGTTGTCCTAGCTGTGATAATAGTGTTTATTTAAAAAGCAGCATGTTATTTTATAAACATTACTATATGACATAAGCATTTTCCTGCATAATTAGCGTTTCTAATGTCTGTGTGATATCATATGGCTGTACGTTGTTTAACCATTCTATTACTGGAAACTTGGGTGATTTTAATGTTTTTGCTCTTATCAAATCTGTGATGAATATGCTTGGGTTTGAAGCTTTTTTCTCATATTTTGAGTTTTTATATGGCAAATTCTCAGAAATGGGATAACTCGGTCTTTCTAACCCTGAGAGTTGAGTAACAAAATAGATTGTTTCAAGAAGTGGTAAGATTGAATGCCTACCTATCAGGATATTGGAGAGGGATTTAAACCTTGGACATGGTTACCATTACATTTCCTTTCTACTTTTTGATTCTGTGGATCTGCTAGAGGGTTGAGTGTTCTGTCTGTGATACTGATTTGGTTTCGGGGAGAGCCAAGCTGAGCATCAGGGATTTGAAGCATAATTAAAAGTTCCAGACTGGCTGCTATAGATGCATACTGAGCAAGTGAAACCTGACATCCTTCTAGCTGTGTGCCTTGTCCACACTTTCAGGATATGCTACCATCTTCCTTCATACTCACATACAAATACCAATTTTCTGGTGAAGCATACATGGCCCCATTAGTGTTTGTTCCAGTTCTTCCTGTGGCTGGAAGTCACTGCTTCTCCCCGCCTCCATTCCAGAGGTTCTTCAACACTATGGAGCAGGGCTGGCCCACCATGCTATGGGTCACAGACAATAGCCAGTTCACTGGGTGGGCTGATGGGCTGATTTAGGGGTGGAATCCGGGCTCTGAAACCACCTATTCCATCTTCCAGAGTTAATGATTTTTCCCCCCACTCCTAGGTAATTAAATGTGTGTCTTGTGGACCTGGGCTTGGCTGGAATGCACAAAGGTCCTGAAGATCCTTCTGTAGCCCCCTTCTGTTGAACTCATTAAGAGAAGATGGCAAAAGTCAACATAACTAGAGACATCATCCATAGGCAGATCAAGGTAAGCAGCCTAGGCCTCTGAACCAAAACAGGAGGTCCTTTCTTTCCCCCAGATCCATTTTACAGAGGATGAAACTGAGGTCTAGAGTTTGTGATTTGCCTACAGTGACATATCTAGTTAGTGACCCAGGACTAGAATCAGAGTTTCTTGACTCCTCGTCTCCTTTTATCCAAGAACATGGAATTCATGGAGACTCCTCTGTCCAAGTGCTTGTGCCTGGGCTACTGAGATTATTATAAGAGGGGTTGGTAAGGGAGGAGAGTCATCAGTGCGTTATGCATATTCATGTGTATGAGTGTGTGTGAGAGAGAGAGAGAGTTGGAAAGGGTCGGTAAGGCAGCAGGAGTAGATAAAGCTTCTTCATGTTGCTGCAGTTACTAAGTTGTATGTATAACAGAACCTGTGAAGGTTCTTTCTTCTGTTCTTCGAGGGTCTCCTCTACTAAATCCTGCACCTGTCCTCTTTAGTTTGTACATAGAAGACACTCCAATACCTGTGGGATGGATGGATGACTGGCAGTCACATTCAATTAGTGAGGTAGCCCCAGGCTTTGTCAGACAAGCCCTTGGTAAGGAGCCACAGAAGTTTAGTGGAGATCAACCAAGGCGTGATGTGCTTCAATATAAGAACTCCAAACTGGGGTCAGCAGCTTAATCTCACCCCTGCCCTAATTAACTACTTATAAGACTTCAGTCATTTTACCTCCCTGTGTCTCAGTTTTCTGTCTGCTAAATTATAATAATGCCTGACTGCCGGCAGACTGATCTTGAGAATGAAATCTGAAAGAACATGAGAAAGTTCTTTGAAAATGTTAAGTGCTTAAAAAAAAAAAATTAAGTGCCATGTGCATAAATTGTAGTCACTATCCAGAAGGATTTTTCTATGTATCTCTGAATCCTTTTAGAGCTTTGTCTGTTTTTTGGGTTTGTGTATATGTGTGTGTGTGTGTGTGAGAGACTTCATTAGACTAGGTGGCTCTTAAGGACAGGGACCATTTCCTTGAGGCACAGAATCATAGAATGGAAGCGATCATGCAGGTTATTTTTTTCCCTTTGTGTATCCTCCATCCTCCGCAATATGTGTCCTAAAGATGATGATGCCCACCCTTTCCAACCTAAACATGTGGAAATATTCCCCTATTTGTTGTTGCCAATTTTTCTTTCTTTTCCTTTTTTTTTAACCCAACAGCACACAATTTAGTGCTTAAGTTTATATTCTATTATTCTCTGTCCCTGCCCAAGTAGCAGAGTGCAGGTTCCTGCAGGCCATTTTCTTGTTGTCTTTTCTAGCTCCTGTAGTGCCCAGCACAGTGCTGGACATATAATAACCACATAGAAATCATGTTGAATTGAATCAATTAAATCATGAGTTTATTTCTGTTCCCCAGGAGAGGGGTGCTCTGAGCTTCGAGCGGCGCTACCATGTCACTGACCCCTTTATCCGGCGGCTGGGCCTGGAAGCAGAGCTGCAGGTAAGAGACCCAGTTTGCACCCTTGATGCAGATGGCTTGCTCTCCATTCTCTTCTCCATTCTTTTCTGTTGGCTTTATTCAAGGCATAAACAAGTTTTTCTCTGCAGATCATACCTAAAGGTTATCTTTCATTTCCAGCAGTTTCATTAGGCAAGTACATCTGAGTCAAGGTTAGGTTCGGGTACATCTGAATCAAGATTGACACGTTCACATAGAAATTATTTTTTGGTCTTATTATTTTACTTACTAATTGCTTTGTGCCTGGAAAAATTTTGTTGAATTACATACCACTGTTTTTACTATTGGAGTCCTTTGGTGACCCAAATGGTTGTGCTTGGCTGCTAACCAAAAAATTGGTGGTTCAAAATCACCCAGAGGCACCTTGGAAGAAAGGCCTGGCAATCTACTTCCAAACGATCACAGCCATTGAAAACCCTATGGAGCACAGTTCTACTCTGACACACATGAAGTAGCTGTGATTCGGAATCGACTCAGCTGCAACTTTTTTTTTTGGTTTTTGGTTTTTACTATTGTCTTGTACAGTAATGTTTCTTACCTTTATATAGGCATATGTGTATATGTGTGTGTGTATATATGCGAATATGTAAGTAAATTATAACCTACATATACAAACACATATATATGATGTATAATATATATACACACATATATATACTTTCTCTTTTTAGCTTCAAAACAATTCTGTGGGGAGGTAAACAGGTACTAGGTATAAGGAAACAGGTTCAGAAAGGCCAAACACGTTGTCCAGGATGGCCCTGACCAGTCCCTGGAAGGGCCAGACCTTCAGTCCATAAGTTCAGCTTTTTCATTGTATCTGACACAGAGATACTCCATAAATGTTAGTTCCATTCCCTTTCCTTCCTCAAGATCATGTTTTGAATCCAGCTATTAGCTATTCTACCTAACTTAGTGTTGTCTGCAGGTTGAGTAAGAATTCTCTTTGATTCCTTTGGGTTAGTGTTTGTAAGTGATCATATTGATCTTAGAAAAGGGTTAGAAAGAAATGTATTGAAATGTAACTAGTTATTTTCAGGTAGTAAGATTATAGATGTTATTGCTTTCTTTTAATTATAAACTTTTATCCATTGCAAAATATAACTAATAGTAATACGGAAAAGATAGGGGAAAAAAATCTCTTCTTAGTCCCACCTCCCTAATACAACTAAAATTTTGTATACTTCCTTTTATCTCCTGCATATTTTTACATAATTGTAATATACTTTAAGGATCCCTGGCGCTGTGATGCAATGGTTAGGCGCTCACCTGCTAACTGAAAGGTCAATGGCGAGAACCTACCAGTGATTCCGTGGGAGAAAAGACGTGGGAATCTCCTTCCATAAAGATTACAGCCTAGGAAACCCTATGGGGCGGTTCTACTCTGTACTATATAGTCGCTATGAGTCAGAGTTGACTCAGTGGCGCACAACAACACAATCATACTTTACATTGAGTTTTGTATCTTTTTTCAAGTTAGCTTATAATAATACTTTTCTCCATGTTACCAAGTAGTCTTCATGGCTTTCACTTACTTTTTTTTCTGCCTATAGAAGCAATAAGTATCATAGTAGAAAATATTGAACAGAGAAGAAAACAAAATCACTTTTAATTCTACTACCTAGAGATAGACATTGTTAACATTTGATATACTGCCTTTGTGTATTACGAAGCAGAATGCTAGTTAAGAGACTGGGCACTGGAGCTAGACAAATTTAGTTTCAGGACTTATCTTCTCCACTTACTAGCTGTATAACCTTGTGCAAGTTGCCCCTGATTTCCTGATCTGAAAATGGAGCGATAACTCAGGATCACTGGGATGATTAAATGAGAAGATTTGTGTGAAGCACTTGACACAGTGCTTCGCTCATGATAAACTAGCGCAGTAAATAACAATTATGATTCTTAAGTCTTCCAGTTTTTTCCAAGCTTATAATCATTTTTTTTCCTTACAAAATTGTGTTCATACCATATAGACAGTTTGGTAAGTCCTTTTATACTTTTATATCATGACTGTTTTCCCATATCCCTAAAAATTCTTTCAAAACATAATGTATTTTATTATTTATACTTTACTGTGTATTTTTTAGTTTCTTCTAGATGGGTGGAGCATATCGTTTCCTTCAGGGACATAAAATATGTCTCTCTGGTGCCAAGGGGACCTTTGGCAACGTCTGGAAACATTTGTGGTTGTCAGAACTATGAGAGTGCTACTGGCAGCTAGAGGCCAGGGATGCTGCTAAACATCCTACAATGCATTGGACAACAAATGTCAATAATGCCAAAGTTAAGAAACCTACTCTAGTGGATGTTGAGTAGATGGTGACCCCTGGCTGGCTGGGCTGCTTCTATCAGTGTGCCTCCACCTAGCCCAAATCTTGTCTCTACCGTCTCTTCCTGGTTTGATAACTTTGTCCAGAAGAGACTTGGGAACTTTCTTAAACACAAAGCGGGATTTCTTCTATTGTTTCTCAGAGTCAGAAACTCAAGTATAAAATGATGTTAAGGTGAACTCTTTCAACTTGCACTTCCCTAAAGGCCACCTTGGCCAGGACTTGTAGTAGCAGTTATCTGGGCAAAGAATATTTTCCTAATTTACTGCTTTGTATACTTTGAAAAATACAAAAGGAAACTAATAAGAGAACTCTTACGACATAGGGCTGGTTTTTTTTATTTCCTGTATTAGGGTTAGCTTTCTTAACCTCATCCCTATTCTAACATGCTATTCTGTACCTTCCAACTCAATAATCTAGCTTGATTTTCACTTTCTAATTTGCATTTTGGGTCACTTTAAAATTCAGAGTTTATCCAATCTGGTATCTTGTTACCCTTCCCTGCATATTGGTAGAATTTGTGCTCACAGAGCTGCCTACTTAAAAAGCATCCAAGTTCACTTGGAGTACTTTGTTTCTTATTCTTTACAGTGTCTTCGTCCTACTGTTTCCCTAAGCCTCTGAAAATCTACTTTTTTTTTTCTTTTCTGATTTTTTTATTTTTCAGGCTTATTTCCTGAAAGTTGCTGTCTTCTGGTTTGCTATGATCAGTTTTCATCCATCCACCTTTAGGTCTTTAATTATTTTGCTCCTAGTTCTTTCTTCCTAAAGAAGATCTGAATCAAGAGGTACCTATGCCCCATTGCATCCATCCCTTTTATATTAGAAATTTTGTCCTTTGTCCTTGGTACTCTCAAAGAATTTGGTTAACCGGTATCATTTACGGAACAACTTTTCCCACAGGCACATCTGTGAAGGTAAACACCACCCCCCCTTGCCCACGGCCCCCTTAAACTAAATTATGATCCAAAGCTGCTCATTGTAGCTGAATCAAAGATTTTACTGGCATCTCTTCTTTGATCTGGAGGTTTGGATGCATGACATGAATGACTCTTCTTTAACCTGTCATCTGACTGTTAGACCTTTTCCTTTTTTATTATTTATTTTTGAATAGGTAAACATTCATATGGTTCTAAATTTTTAAAAGTTTAAAAGGTTGCATCCTTTCCACTCTTTTCCCCAGCTGCCTAATTCACTTCCCTGGTTTCAACTAAGGTAATCAGCTTTTTAGTGTCCTTCCAGAAAAATTTTATGTATTAAATTCTTACCTTTTTTCAAAAATGTTAGCTTAACATATTTACTATTTTGTACTTTACTTTTTGAATTTAAAAATATCCCTTCACAATTTTTCCATATCAATACATAAAAATCATTCTAATTTCTAATTCTTTCATGGCTTTAGAGTGTTCCGTTATGTGAATGTACCATAATTTATTTAAACTGTCCCTTACTGATGGATGTGTAGGTTTCATCTAGTTTTTTTGTATGTAACATCATTTGGCACACGTGGGTGTGTATCTATAGGATAAATACCTGGGAGTGCAATTAGTAGGTCAGAAGGTATTTGCATCTGTGATTTTGATAAATATCACCAAAATTGTTTTTCATGCCATTTGTACCAATTTATACTTCCACCACACTCCTTAACACGTATCAGAAATAATGCTTAACAAATGTTCTTTCTCCAACCCCAGTCTCTTTTTCCCCATGTGTCCATCATTATTCTGAGAAATGTATAGATGAGTGAAACATGGTGGGCTAAGGAAATCTCAGCTCAGCTTCCTGAGAGATATATAATCTAGGTTGACACCTGAAAGATGGGTAGGAGGAGCTAGCTAGATTGGAGTGGGGAGAATAGAGAGAGGAAGAGTGACCCAGGCTGGGGGAACAGTATGTGAGCAGTGCAAGAGAGAGTAATGGGTACTATTTCAAGAAATTAGAGTAGTCAAAGAACACCAGTGGAAGAGGGAGGACAGATGAGATTGGTGAGATGAGTGGGAGTGGGGTGTTGATAATGAAGCACCTTGTAAGGGATGTTGAAGACTATGAACTTTATCCTGAGGGCAATGGAGAGCCATTAATGGTTTTTTTAGCATGGGAGCAACATGATCAGAGTTATGCTTTTAAAAAAAAAATGCTCATGCCTACAAAATGAATAGATTGCTGGAGTTTAAACTGGAAGTAGCTCAGACCAATTAAGAGACTGTGACTGTAATTTAGGAAGAGATGATGGGTTGCCTGAACTAAGGTAGTAGTAATTTAGATGAAGAGAAGTCAGTGGATTTGAGAGACATTTAAGAGGTGGAATTAACACAACTCAGTGATTGAATGTGGAAACTTAGGAAAATAGATGGGTCAAGACGAAGGTCAGGTTTCTGGCTTTTTTAGTAGATGGTGGTATAATGTGCTGAGTTAGGCAACCCTGGGTAAGGAATAGGTTTGAGGGAAAGATGATGAGTTTGGCTGTGGATGTTGTGGATCTACAGGCTATGGGTTATTCAACTAGAGCTGTCTGGGTAGGTACTTGGAATATTTGGGTTTGAGCCTAGGATAGAGATACAGACTAGAGATGTCAATTTGGGAGTAGTGAATAGCATATAGATTGAAGCCAGGAAAGTGAGTTGTGATTGAGGAGCGTGTAGAGTGAGAAGA